TCGCCGTAGGACCCCGTTATATGATGATGATGATTGTTTAGTTTTTTTTCAAGTTATAATAAATATATCATTAGGTAGTTTCTTTCACTTCAAAAGATATACACATAAACGATACTAGCCGTTATGTTTGTTTATGTAGGTACTATCTTACTTGAAACTACTTTTAAACAATCATAGTTACTTGTTTATGAAAATTAAAATTTTTAAATGCTTTTTAGCATTCAAAAAAATTTAAATTTTTTGGCAATCCTGAGAAAACTAACAAATATTTTTGAAAAATTTAAATGCAGAATGAAAGATTACATTATTACCGAGGGCCGAAGGTCCCTTAGAATAAACAAAAAGTTTTTTTAATGAGATATTGAAATTAAAAATCACACTAAATTTTGTTTTTTTTTTCATCCCTATAACTTATTAAAATAAACATTATAGAAGTTTTCAGGGACTTTCAGCTCTCGGTAATAATGTATTGTTTCATTCTGCGTTTAATTTTTTCAAAAATATTTATTAGTTTTCTCAGGATTCGAAAAAAATGAATGCATTTAAAAAAACATGTCGCCCTAAATTTTGCACCTACGCTCTTAACGATAAACTAGCACGACCCACCTCTACTTCTCGTTACTCGATCTTTTGACCAGACGAATATCTAGACTAGACGTTGCCAAATAAATTAGTGTATGAATATTTTTTAATTTGGCGTTATTGTATGCATGTTTAATTGTTTATTATTTCATATTGGGAAATTATTTTGATGTTTAGATTTTTAGTTCGGAAATCGTACTTAAAATACGAAACATTAATAAATTTTATTTATATAAAACGATTTCCGAAATGGAAATCAAAATGTTATATTACAATTATTGTAAAGAAAACTTGTGGCTATATTCCCAATAAAAAAAACAGTAACCTGCCATTTAAATCAATTTCGCCCAAATTTGATTATCTTGAGCATTTTATCTTCTTGATAGAACATTGTTCAAATGCAAAAAAAGACAAGAGGTCAATAAAACCAATAAGTTTGGCAACGTTGAATTTCCCCTTTTTTAATATTTCCATTCGGCGATATAAAGGGCGTACCTAATATACCTCTCTCTTTTTAAACAGCTGTTTCTCACTCCATCTCACGTAAGATCCATACCGACCATAAAATTTTTTCCTACACTGTATATAAATAGATTAATATAGTATATATAAATAAAAGAATAATAATCCTCAATCCCACTTATATATTTGAAAGTATCTTACTCATAACGAATTTTCCCCCATTTACATAAATACAAACATGTAAGTATTTTACCAATTTGTTTCATTACCTTCACCTATTAGATAACTTAATCTAGATATCCCATAAGCGCGGTAACGATCTCTTACCCATAAACACAAACACACTACACAAAAATGGCTGGTACCAGGTAGATATTAAAGCAATTGGGCTTATGAACGAGCAAATCAGGAAACAAAACCTGTAGATTTTTTTGAAACAAAAGTAAAACGAAAAATTGGCGAAAGCATACACACACACACGCCGTAATGATAATGAAGTGTGTCGGTCAGCGTATTAGTATAGCGAGCTAGTGTCTTTGAATCTAATTATCAGTGGCGGAGTTGAACTGGCGGAGTTCTTTTTCTTTGACAATCTAATCATTGTTGTGAATACTGGCATGTAGTTCGGCATAATAATACTAAAGTTCGCGAGTTCGTGTAACCTTCTGGCATAAGTGTTAGGGTTTTTACGACTTAACGACTACTTAGGGTGGCCGCACACAGAAAGAGCAAAACTGTTTTAGTCAAAAACGTTTTTGTTTGAAACGAAAACGTTTTTGTTTCCACAAGAAACATTTTGTTTTCAAGAGAAACAAAATGTTTGCACAGACCATACTGCAATCAATTTTATTAAAGATGTCGACACATAACGACGAAATTGCACTAGTTTTCTGGCAGTGGTTCCACCTATAAGACGAAAAAACAAAATATCGCTGTTTCCACATATGCTCCTTGTTGACTATTCGAGCGGTTTCAAGAAGGGGATTCCAAAAACACGTTGCGCCTGCGTACATAGAAATGTTTCGAGACAAAACGACGATCAGGTAATCAACATCAAACAGACTGACTGAAACTAAATGAGCCTAAAGGTCAATTCAGACACATCAGTCACGTCTCGTCACAGTGATTGCGCCGAACCGAACAATCCGTCATACAAAATATTCTTTAATACAAATATGTTGCCGGCATTCACACTCATCAGTTGACAAACAGGTTCCCAGCTGTCAGATAGTTGATAGTTCTGTGACCAAACAGGACTGGTTCGGCGCCGAGACTATGACGGGACTGATGTGTCTGAATTGACCTTAAACATGCTTTAGACGCACGACTAATCAGTGTGCGTCAGCTCATTTCATTTATATGGAAACATCAGCATCAAACTCGTTTAGTCAAAAACGTTTTTGACTAAAACAGATTTGCTCTTTCTGTGTGCGGCCACCCTTTCGTAATCGGAATTGGTGTCTTTACGCGCCATTCGAAGTATAGTAGCTGCCCAGTGAAATTAGAAATTAAAAAATATCTTGGGAATCGAACCGAAAAAGATATTTTATGTGCAATTTTACATTTTTATAATTGCTTATTTTGTCACTTCATTCGTATTTGAATTAAATTACTCTTTTCACAACTCTGTAAACCACATTATTCAAGATAAATCAAAAATGCTAATACACACTGGGCCAAAATTAACCAGCCACTTTAAAAGTGGGCAATTTTTGATTTCTTTTATCTCCTAAACCTGTTGTCCGATTTAAGTCAATTTTTTTAATATGTTATAGCCTTATTCCTTGGCAATATCTTTATAATAATAATTTTAATGTATACCGGGTGTACGAGTCAAACTGTGTTTTTTTCTTAAAGTTTGTAACACCCTGTGAAATATTCTAGAATTTGTAGAATACTGAAAATAAATCGTAACTATAGCCTCATGCTTTCTCAACATTTTGCTTTTTGATTCATTCGCTTATGTTGGACAATACAAAAGTTAGGTGGTTTAACAACTAGACATGTTTTTATTAATTTTTATCTCCGAGGAAGAGAAAAAATAATCTTTTTGAAAAAAGTCATTTGTTACAGTAAAAATCCAATGAATAAAATTTTCGAAGAAAGTGCGAATTAATTTTAGAAATCAAAGTGTAAGCGAAAAAAAAATGGGTATCAATAATGAGTGTTGCCGCCTCTAGCCCTTAGGACTTCTTGGAGCCGGTTTGACAATCCATTCATGATATCCTGGATATCAGATTGAGGGATATTATGCCACTCCTCTACGGCAGCTGTCTTCAGCTCTTCAAAGGATGCAGGGGTTGGTACTCCTGCTCTTACCCGTCTTTTGAGGTTGCCCCAGATATGCTCAATTGCGTAAAGATCGGGATTGTGTGCTGGTTATGGTAGAACTTGAAGCCCGACCTCATTAAAGTTATCACGGGTAGATCTTGCTGTATGGCAACGTGCATTGTCATGCATTAGTCTAAAGGTATTACCAATGAATGATGCAAAAGGCATGACATGGTCTTGGAGAACTTCTTGCATGTATACTTAGGCATTTACACTACCTTTACCGAATACTTCAATAGTCTCCTCGGTAAGCCACTGTTTCGGTTATAGCGCATGCAGCAAACCTTTCATTTTGAAGCATATAGACACATTGGCGTCCATCTAGACCTTTTAAGGCTATTCTGCTCTCATCTGAGAACAGTATATTCTTCCATTCCACCATAGTCCAGTTTGCATATTTTCGCGCAAAATAAAGTCTAGCCCTACGGTGTTGTGGAAGCACTTGTGGTGCGCGAGCTGGACGAAAAGCCCTCAAGTTCATTTCTGAAAGTCTTCTCCTAATCATTTGTCTACTCACACTAATGTTTCTAACCTCAAGAAGAGACCTACCTCATGAGCGATGCAAAAGCGATTTCTCAATATTTTAGTGACAATGAAGAGGTCATTTCGAACTGAAGTGCATCGTATTCGGCCTTGACCTGACCTGCGGTTGTACGATCCTGTCTCCTGAAGGCGTCTGATGGCATGGTGCACCGTAGTTCTGGGTACATCGAGTATACCAGCAATATGACGTTGACTGTAACCAGCATCAACTAAAGCCACTGCCTTAGCAGCATCAGTTGGAACGAGTGACATTTTTAAAATCACAAACAATAACTAAGCACTAAAATTTTAACTTAAACAATATTCGCTCACAATGATATAAAATTACAATTTTAATTGTCAATTTTAATTATAAATTTAATTTTAATTACAAATTGTTCAAGAATTGTTATTAACACGGAAACAGATTTGCAACAATGTTGTACAATGGCTCAATGTCAAAAATGATTTTATGTGGTGTACATAGAAAAATTAACCCGGTTTAATTGACTTACGGCAACCATAGACATACTATACAATTATATTAACATTGATAAATATAATAACATAAATATAATATAATTAAACATAGATATAAACAATTACATAACCTCACAAATCATGTCAACTTCAAAGGCGGCATCTGAGAGTGGACATTCTGATTGTTTATTATTCTATGGTTAAATCGTCTGTATTGATGAAAAACATGGCTGGTCGTTAAACTACCTAACTTTTGTATTATCCAACATAAGCGAATGAATCACAAAACAAAATGAGGCTACAGTTTTTAGTTAGTATAGTTTTTAATTTCAATATTTTGTAAATGCTACAATATTCCACACAGTGATACAAACTTTAAGAAAAAATACAGTTTAATTCATACACCTTATATACAATGAAAATTTACCTGTTTAGCAAATATATTATTATAATGATATTGTCAAGGAATAAGGCTATAAAATATTAAAAAAATCACTTAAATCGGACAACAGCTTTAGGAGATATAAGACATCAAAAATTACTCATTTTTAAGGTAGCCGGTTAATTTTAGCCCAGAGTGTAGTAATAACTTTCAAGATTATGTAATGTACTTTTTGTTGTAGGTCCTGCCATGAGCGGTACCTTAGTGAAGAACATTGGCTTTGAATGGATGTTGTTTGGTATCGCCATTTTAAATTTCTTGTATGCTCCACTCTTGTATTGCCTGAAGAGTCCTCCGACAAAGGAAGAGAAACGGGTAAGAGCGATATTCATAATAAGCGTTTTAAAAAATAAATTTAAATAAATCAAATCATTTTACTGTATTTTTACACATATGGCATATTTTGACATTGTATTAACGAGTTTTTCACAAATTGATTCAAATCCATATTTGTTGCAATACCTTAAAAACACTTTTTATTTAAGATGGTTTTATATGGTTTTAGAAATGCTATGGGAAGCAGGAAGGCACTTTTTACGCTAAATATCCTATTACAAAAATGCCGTGACCAAAGAAAAGATGTATTTGCATGTTTCGTGGACTTCGAAAAGGCATTCGATAAAGTACAGTATGTAAAATTAATGCAAATACTGAAAAATATCGGAATAGATGACAAGGATATTCGTGTCATTAAAAATTTGTACTGGAATTAAAATGCTATCGTAAAAATTGGAAGTAACTACACCGATGAAATCTCCATACAACGAGGAATCAGACAAAACTTCTAGGGGTGGAAACTAGACTTACATTTCCTGCCACACGAACAAAAGGACTGCATCTATGGTCTGGAACGACGACCAGGGACAGATAAAGTGAGGTTGAAATTAGCGGCACATTGGACACACCCTTGGAAACGGCTTCTTAAAAACGGAATCCCTCGTAGTTACTTTTCAAATTTGTAGTATTCAATACAAATCTCTTAGAAACATAGAAATAGTGATTACTCTTACTCTAACAAAAATGGCACGTTACAATTCCACTATTTTCAACAAATTTTGCCGGCTCTTCAAACTAATCAAATACGTCTGTCCCCTTTGACCACATCTTCCAACCTAAAAATTCAAATTTTCCCGACCCTCGATGTTGTACACCTCTGTAATTTTTTAGGTCCGATTTGTCTCCCTCTTTGAAGAGAGGTATTATAGTGTATTTTTATGTATGAGAGAGTAATAAAACAATAAATTATGTATGCAAATCCCTAAACTGTTGATACGGGTGACTCAATGAAAAACAGATATTTGTCAACAAGTTTACAGAAGTATATAGGAAAACAATTTTAAATTGAGTATGACCACCAGGTATAAAGGTTGGAGCAGAATAGAATACAATAGTTGTGAGGGTTACTAATCCCTAAATAAGGTTGCCAGTGTCGGAGTGATGGAGGTTAACAGGTACTAATGAATTTGCAAGAAATGTAAGATGTTTATTTTATTGGTTATATATAACCAATAAAAGTTTAATAAGTACCTAGCTATTTGCAAAATAAAGTTTAATTCTTTAGATAAAATAAAACGTTTTATTTTATCTGAAATGAGTGCATTCCACGAAGTAAGGGTTTCAACAATCAAACATTTAATTCTTTAATTCCAGGAATCTACGACAGTAATTGACTAGATAATTACCTTCTAAACTTATTCCACAGAAAATGTGATTTTGAGTGGTTTTTCCATTTTGTAGGAAGGTCCAAGTGGCGTATTCAAAATTCTTAACAGTTCACTAAAAGTAGGTACTTCAGTTGCAAGGTGCAGTTTATTGTGTATACTAGTGTTATGGAAAATTTGGAAGTGCCGTGTAAACGCCGAAAAAATTGGTCCTTTAACAGTTAATGAAAAAACATAATATTTAATTGTTTTAAATCATTTACAGACAAACGTTTATGTGAAAGTGTTGATGAGACCGTTGAGTAGTTAGCAGTACACTTGGTGTTGGGAAATCTACGATTTACAGAGTGATTAAAGAAGAGAAATGTGGTAGTTTTTAAATGCCACGTAATGCTCCAGGGAAACCAAAATTTCAAATAGAATATCATTTTAAAGAAGGACTTCGACGGAAAGTGCATGAATTCTTTTTTAGACAAGAATTTCCAACATTGGATAAAGTTCTTGTCTCAGTTCGAGATGATAAGGATTACCCAGAAATGAGTCGAAGTACGTTATGGAAACTTTTAAAAGAAATAGGCTTCCGCTGGAAAAAGAATCCCAGAAAGTCTATTTTATTAGAAAGAAGCGATATTGTCATATGGAGAAGACATTTTCTAAGAACCATAAAGGAAATGAGAAACCAAAAAAGAAAAATATTTTATCTTGATGAAACATGGATCAACGAGGGTCATACACCAAATAAATTTTGGCAGGATGAAACTGTTACAAGTCAAAGGCACGCTTTTGTAAATAACTTATCTACTGGTTTAAACCCACCAGCAGGAAAGGGACGCAGGCTGATAATAGTACACATTGGCAGTTCAGACGGTTTTGTTGAAGGTGGTTTATTAACTTTTGAATCAACTCGTACCGGTGACTACCATAAAGACATGAACGCTGATGTCTTTCAATCATGGTTCGAACAAATGATAGATCTTCTTCCTAAGAACTGTGTAATAGTAATGGATAATGCAAGTTATCACTTCAGACTTATAGAAGGACTGCCTACAACCAAGTGGTTAAAAAAAGACTTGCAGAATTGGCTGAGTTCAAAAAATATTACGTATCATCCCGGATCTATAAGAAAGGAACTTTATTCGTTGTGTGGCCTTCATAAAGAAAAATTTTAAAAATACGAAATTGATGAAATTGCCAAAAATCGTGGAATGACAGTACTTAGATCCCCACCATATCATTGTGAATTAAACCCGATTGAACTGGTATGGGCACAGATAAAGAGTGAAGTTTCAAGAAAAAATACCACTTTGAAAATTCATGATGTTAAACAGTTGTTTTTGGAGGCCGTAAATAATGTAAAACCTTAAAACTGGGAAAAGGCAGTAAATCACACTATTAAAGAAGAGGAATAAATGTGGAAGCTGGACAATATTACTGATAAAATGATCGAGCCAGTTATTATAAATCTTGGTTCTGAAAGTTCATCTTCTGAATCTGATTTGGATTTGTAACAAGTAGCTGTAAGTTTTATATTAATATTTTTATTTATCTATTTAACATACCTTAGACGGTTTTAAAAACTATTTTTCTCTTTTGTAATTTTTAAAAATTAAAAAAAATGTGAATTTTTTAAAACCCTTTTTAATGTAGGCCAGTCAGTTCTAATATAGTGTGTGATAAAAGAGGTCACTTTTGTTTACATACACATAACACTTTATAACACTGAAATAATTCATTTATTTTTTACAATTATTCAAAGTAATTTTTCAATTAATCTTGAGCACGCCCATGGAGTGGTCGGAGCTACCAGTTAAAATTATGCTAATTACTCTCTCGTTCATAAAAATAAACTATAGAAGGTTTGATCTCCACTCTTGAGAAATTTTGTTTTGTTCTAATATTTTTTGGATTAGTTTTAATAGTTGTTTGGTTAGATCTGATCCTCTATATTTTAGGAATTCGTTATGTGTTTCGTTATTATTAGTTCGTTCATCTCTTTTTTTCAATAAAAATATTAATTTAACTAATTATTTTTAAATAATTTATTTGAAAAACATTGATCTGTTTTGTTTTAGTCGCTATTGATGGAAGAAAAATCATCAGTAAGATACGTCACATACCAGAATGAAGAAGAAGACGAATAGTAACGTTACATATATCCCAAACTAGAATAAAAAAAATTGTAAAGAGATTATTAACTGTTTGAAGATTAAAACATTCCTAGATATTATTGTACAAAAAAAAATATTGAAAATAGAAATAGATTTATTGGTGTTCTTACTAGTAACAAAGTTATTAATGATCTTTTTAACTTTTATTAATTTGTTAATAATTTTCTATAATTGCTTATTTCTTTATAATAAACAGATAGGAGTAACGCACAAATCTTCCAAATTTTACTAGTGGTGCAGTGGGGATCACAGAAAAGGATGACTCAGTCAAAATCTGGATCTTCTCCACTGCGTTTACTGATTCACAAGGGTCCCTGTCGCGGGTTGTGTGAATGGCTGCACGCAACTCTTTCCCTCACAGATCGGGAGACGGGGCAATCAGATGCCCTTGGACGTTTCGGCAAACTTTAAGCACAAATTTTGAATCAATAGTTCTCCTATCATTAGCCCGAATAATGATTGCCAAAAGTATATTTAGTATGTATTTATTGGTGTTTATACTTCAATCTAATGAAGGTGATTTTCAGAATTTTTAATTGCGGATAAAGAGGTCTTTGGTAGGACTTTATAAATGATAGAAGTTTTAAGAAACGGTAAAAGTTTTCGAAGGTCTTGGTAAAACAAAGTATAATTTATGTGTTTAGCAATTTTTTTGAGTAAAATGTTATTTTGTGGCATTTTTATGGTCATTATAGTCATTTTTTGATTTTAAGTCCAATGTGTGATAAAGAATAATATTTTTTAAGTTAACTTAGGTTTATGTTAAAAATAGATACTAAAAAATACGATAAAATCGCATATTTAAAATAGATATTTTACCAAGCTTTCGTTTGGTAAGAGAAATTTCTCTGCCTTCTTGATCTGCCAGCAAATTTTTATTTACTGAATTCTGAATATCACCTAAAAGTAGATTCCTTTAGAAAAATAATATGTAAACACAATATCTGTAGAGAATCCAAAAATCATTCTAAGAGAATTGCTGAGGCCAATCAAAAACAGTATTGGGCTAAGAACGGTATGCAGTAAGGGGACCTAAGAAATGTATGTCGCTTATCCTATAACCACTCAGCTATATGTTTGTGTTAAATGTACTTTTAAAGACGAAAAATCTGATGTAAAACTCAGAGACGATTATTGCTATGGGACAATAATCTCTGCCCAACCTACAAAACAAAAAAGATTTTTGTTCTAAAGCTGGTGAGGGTCCGAAAAAAGACGTAAAGGCGTCTTTTGTCATTATTTCTCCTAAACTGTAGGACCATTAGGGTGCCTCGTTTAGACGAACTAGCTTGCTGTTGCATGTTAGAAAGTTTATTATAGAAACCTGTTAATCATGTTATAAATGTTTGATGTTTATAACCGATATGTGGTACTATATCAATAAAATAACTTCTAAAAACACAATTACATGTTTTAATTTCCTTTTAACAAATGAATACAATAAAATCTCGGAGTATATGCAACAACAGACGATTCCTCAAGAGTAGAAAAAGAACATTTCTTGAAACAACTTCAACATCAAATAGAGCTAATTAAGAAGAACGTGGAGATAATTATAACAGCAGACCTTAATGGCAGCACCGAAAGAAAAGAAAACGATAAAACAGTGGGGAGATTTGAACAAGATGAACAAAACGGTAACGGAGAACATAAGATTGAACTATACGAACTAAACAACCTAAAAATCACCAACGGATTCTTCAGACAAAAATATTCATAAATATACATGGACGCAAGAAACACAAAAGCTGAAATCGATAATAGACTACATAATAATCAAACAAGATACCACAATAAAGATCAAAGATGTGTGAGTCAGAAGAGGAGCAAAATGTGGATTGGAAAATAAACTACTGACAGCAAAAATGGACATTAATTGGAAACATAACAAGACCCCCTCTACAGAAGAACCGTTGAACACTATAAAAGAAAAACAATGCAATATAGAACTGCTCCAAGAACAATCAATAAGAGAACTATACCAACAACGTCTAGACCAAAAATTAATAGAATTTATATACGGCAACATCGAAGAAATATACTAGCATATTTATATATAAAAGAACATATAGCAAATAAATAGCACTATGTAACAATAAAACACTGAAAACTTTGTTTTCAAACTTCCACAAAATGTATTTTTAATTATTATCACTACAGCTGTTTCGGCTGATTGCCTTCTCAAGTGATCTATTTGGGCTTGGATTTACAAATTTATAGTCTCTAATGAAATAGGTTGAGGAGGGGAGAACTGTTTGTCTCAAGTTGGTCATTCAGAATTATATCTGTGTTTTTTAATTTGTTGATTTCTATAGATTCTAACAATAGAATATAGACGACATAGACGACGTACTGGTATGTTTCACAGGAACTAACAGGCAACTGGACCAATTTTTATCATATATTAATTCACTTCATAGTCATATTGAATTTACAATAGAAACAGAACAAAATCAATCCATAAATTTTTTTAGATTTAAAAATTAGCAGACTTCAAAACAAACATGACTTCTCCATATTTCATAAACCTACCCATACTGACACGACTATACACAATTCGTCATCCCATCCAACACAACATAAACTGGCAGCTTATCATAGTATGTTACATAGATTAACAGAAATTCCGATGTCAAAATACAACTTTGAGACAGAATTAAATATAATTAAGCAGATAGCAGTAAACAACGGATACAACGAACAAACAATTAATAAAATGGTAAATCAAAAACTACACAAGAAAGCCCTGAAATTAATATTTCCACCACCAGAGAAAAAACCTCAGTACCTTCTGCTCGATTACATACACAGGCAAAATAACAACAAAAATTGCCAAACACATAAAAAAGAAAGGAATAACCCCAGCTTTCCGAACAAATAACAACCTAGGCAAATATATTAAAAATAGCAAGAGCCAAAATAAAAAACACTTAAATAGTGGTGTGTACAAACTTGAATCTGGCGACTGCCCAAAAACTTACATCGGTCAAACTGGTAGAAACTTTGATAAACGAATAGCAGAACATAAAAGGGCTTTCAAGAATAGAAAAACAGATTCGACATACGCACTTCACCTTCTAGATCATAATCATTCTTTTAATGAAAAATTTAAAATTCTTCACATTCAAAATAAAGGCCTTAAGCTATCTTTGTTAGAATCTATGGAAATCAACAAATTAAAAAACACAGATATAATTCTGAATGACCAACTTGAGACAAACAGTTCTCCCCTCCTCAACCTATTTCATTAGAGACTATAAATTTGTAAACCCAAGCCAAAATAGATCACTTGAGAAAGGCAATCAGCCGAAACCGCTGTAGTGATAATAATTAAAATAAATTTTGTGGAAGTTTGAAAACAAAGTTTTCAGTGTTTTATTGTTACATAAAATGAATTTATATCAAGTAACGGTCGAATCCATCAATTATTTAAATAGCACTATTATGAAATAAATGAACCAACAAAAAGAATAATTGAAAAAAAAAGCAACTATACAGAAAATGGCTGACTGCAAAGGACGATGAAGTTTATAAAGAATATAGAGAAACAGATAGAGAAGTGAAAAAACAAATAACACAACAAACGAATGAAGAATGGGAAAAAAACTGCTTAAATATTGAAACATACATAGGACGTACAATAACTTCGGCGTCATGGAAAGTACTCAGAGGATTGAAACAATACTAAAAAGAAAAAATTAAATTGGGAAATAAACAGGACAAAGAATGAAAGGACTATTACAAGGAACTGTTAACAGAACAAAGACCACAATTCATTGGAAAAGAAAAGAGGCGAAGACGAAGCAGATCCCCACAACAAGAAATATAAATAACAGATAGGGAAATGAGAATAGTCATAAAAGCAATCAAAAATAAGAACGCACCGGGACCTGGAGGCATCTCACCTGAGATTATAAAATATGGCTCAAATAAATTACACCGAATAATACAATGGATATTTCAGAAAGCCATAAATGGAGAACAGCTCCTAAAGGAATTTACGGAGGCATATATGGCATCTATATCTAAAACAAGAGATACAAAAAGGATGCGAAAACTACAGAGAAATAAGCGTAATATCACCAATAGGAAGATTATATAGAAAGATACTGCGAGAAAAGATAGAGCTAGCGATAAAAGGCATAATCGGGGAGGATCAGGCAGGCTTCACGGCAGGAAGATCATGCATAGACCACATATACACACTGGAACAACTGTTGGAAAAGAAAAAAGCAAAAAATAGAGATCTACATTTGGCACTTGTGGACCTGAGAAAGGCGTATGACTCTGTACCAAGGTCAGAACTATGGAAGACAATGTACAAATTAGAAATACTGACGGAACTTATAGAAGCTACAAAAGCTTTGTACAAATAAAATAAAGTGTCTATTAAAGTGGGAACAAGAATCATAGGAGACTTTACCACAACAAAATGGCTTCTGCAGGGTTGTTCCACATCTCCAACTCTGTTCAAAATACACTTAGAGAAAACATTGACCACATGGAAAAGAGAATGTAAAGGCATGGGAGTACCGGTACGGAACGAATACCCATATACGTTAAGCTTTGCAGACGATCAAGTAGTGATTGCACAAGACCAAGAAGACCTCAGCTAGATGATGAAGAAATTCTAAGAAGAATATACAAGGGCTGGCTTAAATATTAACCTCGCGAAGACAGAGTACCGTTTTACCTAACGTTTTTTTTTATTTATACACGGCGATCGAGCACGTAGTGGGATATCAAATTAAATGTGGGCGTTCATATCTATGCATTCTTTGCAAAAAACCGTGTAATAGAGTACACGACTTCCTTCAAAGTATAAGGTTATTAGACTTTTTAGAAAGTAGATGGAATTTTTGTTGTGATCTAAGATACTAGAACCATCTTAGATACGCAGATGATGTAGTACTAAAAGCCGACAAATGGAATGCACTAAATACGATGATTGAGGAGCTACACACAGACTAAAT